CCATTGATATTTGGGTATTAATTTTGTATCCTGCTACATTGCCAAATTCATTTATTAAATCTTGTAGTTTTCTGGTAGAGTCTTTAGGATTTTCTATGTATAATATCATGTCATTTGGGAATAATGAGTTTTACTTCCTCCTTTACAATTGAATGTTTTTTATTTCTTCTTATTTTCTGATCCCTGTGGCTAGGACTTCCAGTACTATGTTGAATAAGAGTGGAGAAAGTGGACACCCCTGTCTCGTTCCTGTTCTTAGGGGAAACAGTTTTAGTTTTTGCCCATTGACAATGACGTTGGGTGCAGGTTTGTCATATAAGGCCTTTATTATGTTGAGATATGATCCCTCAATTCCCACTTATTATCTAAAAAGGGTGTTGGATTTTATTGAATGCTTTTTCTGTGTCTACTGATATGATCATGTGATTTTTGTCTTTCAATTTATTTATATGATGTATTATATTTACTGATTTGTGACTGTTGCACCAGACTTGCATCCCTGGAATAAATCCCACTTGGACATGGTATATGATCTTTATAATATATTTCTGGATCTAATTTGCTAATATTTTGTTGAGTATTTTAGCATCTATGTTCATTAGGGATATTGGCCTGTAATTCTCTTTCTTTGTAGTGTCTCTATCTGGTTTTGGAATTAGGATAATGCTGGCCTCATAAAAAGAGCTTGGAAGTGTTCCTTCCTCTTGGATTTTTTTTGGAATAGTTTGAGGAGAATAAATGTTAGTTCTTCTTTGAATGTTTGGCAAAACTCTCTTGTGAAGCCATCTGGATCCAGGCTTTTGTTTGCTGGGAGACTTTTGATTACTGCTTCTATTTCATCAGTTGTTATCGGCCTATTTAGGTTTTCTGATTCTTCCTGATTCAGTTTTGGGAGATTCTATTATTCTAGAAATTTGTCCATTTCCCCTACATTGTCCAGCTTATTGGCATATAGTTGTTCACAGTATTTTCTTGCAATCCTTTTCTATGGTGTCTGTGGTTACTTCTCAACTTTCATTTCTGATTTTATTTATTTAGGTCCTTTCTCTTTGTTTCTTGGGGAGTCTGGCTAATGGTCCATCAATCTTAGTTAACTTTTCAAAGAACCAGCTCTTGCTTTCATTGAACTTTTGTATTTTTTTAGTCTTATGTCATTTATTTCAGCTCTAATCTTTATTATTTCCTTCCTTCTACTTACTCTTGGTTTTTATTATTGATCCCTTTCTGGTTCTTTAAGTTGTAGACTTAAATAGTTTATTAGTGATTTTTCTTGTTTTTTGAAGTAGGCCTGTAGTGCTATGAATTTCCCTCTAAGGACTACTTTTGCTGTGTCCCAGAGATTTTGGTTTGTTGTGTGTTCATTTTCATTCGTTTCCAGGAAGTTTTTGATATCTTTCTTGATCTCATTGGAAACTTATTCATTGTCTAAGAAATGCTATTTAGCCTCCATGTGTTTGAATATTTTGGGGTGTTTTTACTGTTGTTGATTTCTAATTTCTTTCCATTGTGATCTGAGAAGATGTTTGTTATGATTTCAGTCTTTTTGAACTTGTAGAGACTTGGTTTATGTCCTAACATGTGGTCTATTTTTGAGACTGACCAATGTGAGATTGAAAACAATGTATATTCTGTAGCTTTGGGTTGAAATGTTCTATAAATGTCAATTAAATCAATCTGATCCAGAGAGCCATTAAGAGTCACTGTTTCTTTATTAATTTTTTTTGTCTGAAAGATCTATCCAGTGATGTCTGTGGGGTGTTAAAGTCCCCTACTATGACTGTATTGCTGTCAATCTCTCAAATCCTCTAGAAGTTTTTAAAAAAAATATATTTAGGTGCTCCTATATTGGGTGCATATATGTTTACGAGGGTTATATCCTCTTATTGGATTGATTCCTTTAGTACTATGTAGTGACTTTTGTTGCCTCTTATGATTGCGTTCACTTTGAATTTTATTTTGTGCAATAAGAGTATAGCTACCCCAGATTTATTTTTTTATTTGCCTGGAAAATTTTTTTCCATCCCTTCATTCTCATCCTGTGTGAGTCTTTTATTCTGAGGTGAGTCTCTTGCAAACAGCATATAACTGGGTCATGTTCTTGTATCCATTCAAATGCCCTATACCTTTGGATTGGAGCATTTAATTAATTTACATTTAAGGTTATTGTTTATAGGTACTTATTTAGTACCAGTTTACTTCTGTATGCCCATGTTTCTCTCTCTCTCTATTACTTCTCATTATAGCAGTGCCTTTAGCATTTCTTTTTTTAATTAATTAAATCTTTATTGTTCAGATTATTACAGTTGTTCCCCTTTCTCCCCCTCATAACTCCCCTCCACCCAGATCCTCCCCCCTCCTCCCTCACTCCCCACCCACTGTCCTCATCCATAGGTGCACGATTATTGTCCAATCTCTTCCCACATCTCTCTCACCCCTCCACCCCACCAAGAATAGTCAGTCCACTTCCTTTCTATGCCCCTGATTCTATTATAATCACCAGTTCATTCTGTTCATCAGATTATTCACTTGATTTTCAGATTCACTTGTTGATAGATGTGTATTTGCTGTTCATAATTTGTATCTTTACCTTTTTCTTCTTCTTCCTCTTCTTAAAGAATACCTTTTAGCATTTCATATAATACTGATTTGGTGGTGATGAACTCCTTTAGCTTTTTCTTATCTGTGAAGCTCTTTTCCTGGCCTTCACTTTGCTG